AGCCAAAGGTAGGCAAGCTGCCCTCAGAGACTGTGTGGTCGAGGCAAGCGAGGGAGCCGGACAGAGAGCAACAGCAGCTATGCCGGGCTAGCGGACAAGATGAGGTGTGACTGGGTGGGGCGGGGCGGGGCCAGTGCAGAATTTTAACAACCGGTTTTTCCCAAACCGGCTGAATCCCACCACTGATCCTTACCCATAATTGAGGCATCTTAAGTTAGTTTTTGGGTTGCACAAAGATGGAGAGATATTGAAATATCCACAGTGGAGTAATGGATTGTAAAGACGATGGAATTAGCAGAAATGGCAAAATTGACCTATTTGATCAGGGATTTTACTAAAGACTGATAACCTTTTATAGACTTTTTGCTGAAATGAAAAAAATGATTTATGAATTTGTTGATTAAAGGGGATTAAATCATGGGTAAAGGGAAATAGGATGCACTTTTAAACTGAGGGATGTGAAGATTTGTTTACTTGTAACTGGTATAAAGGAGGTAAGGAGTTGCTTCTTTGTGTATATTTCTTATCCTGTTTCTAATTGGGTTCCCCCCCCACACACACACTTTTTTCCCTTTTTCTTTCTTGTTTTATTTCATATTATTCTTACATTTACCTTTTATATCTGAGAAAAATATTTAATAAAACTATTCTTTGAAAATAATCTTAGAGCTCTTTTGAAACAAAGACAGACTTATTTTCTTTTAAGCATATGGTTTATGTGCTAGAGATAAGTCATTTAAACCAGGGAAGCATTTTGTACTGTTGCTCTGTAAACCAGCTGCTTTATATTGCTGGTACTGCATGAGTGTACGTATTACAGGTTTTCCAATGCTTCTACCAACAGATTGGGAGCAGCCCAGGGCCAGTTGAAAGATGGGTGGCTCTATAAACGTTTTAAATAAAATATATAAAATCATGTGTGTGACGTTTTACTGTTTATTTTGGGGGAGTTGCATCTTGCCTTCCCCAATCTGTCTCCAGGGCTGTCCACAGCCTTTTTCCTGATGCTGCTTATATGAGAATAGAACTGTCAGAGCTGCCTTTTTGTTAAAACACTAATCAGGAATGGGTGCTCACTTCTTATGAATCACTCCCCTCTTGTGTCCCTATTCTATGCCTGCAAATTCTCAGCTAGGCTATTTGTTGACATGGGCTTTCAAAGTGGGTGTAGCACTCTGACTTTTTAAAATAAACTTTTATTAAAAGTTTTACCAAGAACATAAAACCTAACAAAATCAGAGTAAAAGCAGTAAAGAAAAAAAGGAGGAAGAAAAAAAAGCAAAAGTGCAGAAAGAAATAGAAAAATGTTTCCGTTTTTTTCAAAGCAAATATAAGTACAATTACAAAATTATGCTCTACGATTACAAAAGAAAAGTCCCTCTTTTTTTTAAATTATCCAGGGTTTATTTTTTAATCATTAAAACCATAAGTGCACTTTTTCCAATTTTGTGCAAAACATCTATAGTATAAGGAGTTCCAGTCACTTATAAATATAGATTGTATTTTTTTCCTCTATCAAAGAGGTTAATTTAGCCATTTCCGTAAATTCCGTCATCTTCACCAACATTCCTCTGCTCTGGGTACTGTTGGGGCTAGCATTCTTTCAGAAGTGCACTAAAACTTGTGTTCTAACATATCCCAATCAAAATTACAGAGAGGTGGCTAATCCCAACCATTCCAAACTACACTCACTTCACTCTTCTTCCATTAGGTAGCTGTTTTCCTACTGGCAGGTAAGAACTGATAAGAGGAGAAACAAAATCAGATGACTCTATCAATGGCTTTCCTTAATTTGTCATGCATTAAAACTATAAGGATACTATGAGTTTCATTATCATGGCAGCATAGAGATCAGCAATCCAAGCAGCAAACATTTGCTGGCATTTTTTTCTGTTGGCTCAAAAACTGGTAGGTAGCCATTTGATTTGTCATTGGAAGCAAGATAAAGCCCTCCAAGTAATAAAAGACACAGTTGGAATGTACATATTGCAGAGCATAACATCTCAGGGCTTAGAAGAAGCAATCAAGTTTGGGGTTTGTTTGTTTTTTTGCCACAGAAAAACTGGAAAGCAAGCAGTCTTTCTCTTGTACAAGGATTTGCCAGCCCCTTCCTTCACTTTGCATGGGCTTCTCAATCTCAGTCTTCTTTTTGTGGAAACACAAAAGCTGAGGACTAGAGATACTTTTAGCATGCTGTAGAAACCCTTCCTGCTATGTTTTAAGGTTTCGGTGAGCTACGGTAGTCTTAGCTCAAAAGGTTCCCACTGTGTCTCTCCTATGATAAAACGCCCTCTACTGGGAGTTGATATCTCTTGCACATGTGGATCATTTATTGTTCACTCAATATTTACTGGGTGAATTATTGTTCTGGAATTACTTACTTCTAATGAAATGGCACATTTGGAACAATGACTCATCTAGTGACAGAATCAGAAGGATGAAGTCGCAAACTGAACAGAGTCTCCAATTTTAATTCAGAAAAGGGCATCTTGGTTATTGGAAACTTGGAAAACTGGCGCACCAGAGCTGCTTCATCTGGCATGGATAAATCAATGATTAATAGGACGCAATAGTTTTTTTTAATATAAGCTTGCTTATTAATTTCTCTTAGAGGAATCAGATCATGGAATGGCAAACAGCCAATTAATGAATAAAAAAGAAACCATAATCTTCTAACAGACATAAGCAATACTTTTTAACCAAATGCTGGAACAGTGGCAATAAATAAGCAATGGAAGAAGATGGGCTAGAGCTGCTAGACTAATAATTGTAGGAATGCTTACCTGATTGTTACTCAGAATATGACTGACAAGCAGCTGTCAATAATTAGAAACAGCATGCCATGAAAGCTAGGTTTCTTGTGCTATCCATATACTTGGGATGATAGGATATTTGATACATTTCAACCAACACTTTGGATGAGCAAACCAAATATTTTTTTCCCACTAGAGATCCTTACTATATCTCAGCTCTTGCTATAGTGAATATAACCTCTTGTTGGAATGAAAATGTGAGGTCTTCATTTTTGCAGCTGTGGTGTCTGGCTAGGAAAGTCTGTTGTGCTTACTGGTGTGGGATGCCTATCTGGAGGGTGTTAATTAGCTGAGGAATGGGCAACAGCAGGAATTTCTCTCCCTCTCCTCTTCAAATAGAGGAATCCTCCAGGAAATTTACCAATGACTAGTCAAGGCTGGCTAGACACTTCTTGAAAGGAAAGGTAAGCGCCATAATGAAGTGTGTAATGTAATGAGATGTTTACCTCTGACAATACAAGAATTAGCACATTAACCTGGATTTTAATCCTCCCAAAATTGGGGTACAGAATGTCTTTGAGTGCCTGTTAAGGTAAGGATTATTTTTAGCAACAATGTTCATATAAGTCCTTTTGCAAACAAATCTTGCCCAGTCTCCCCCCCACTCCACTCCCTAGTTATCTCAATTTTAGGCACCTAAATCAAGAGGACAGAGGGTTTTTACCATTGTATTCTCACATGATTACAAATAGAAAAATCTGCTGATATGCAGCATTTCAAGCTAGATGCCTCAGCCATTGATGATTGCTCAAGTAGCTCAGTAACATCAGGAGGGCCACAGTTTCCTCTGTACATTTCAGTGGGGGTGAAAAAGGCCCAGGGAGAAACGAATAAATGAGCAAAGCTAAGCAAGTTTCAAAAGGCCTGAAGGCTCCATTTCCAGTCTCAAATGCACTAAATCATTTCAAGGCCAAGCCAAGGACAAAGCTGCTACTGAACAAACAAGAGACAGATCTACTGGGCACTTTTACGGTTGTTAAATTGGTCTGGAAGATCTTTCATGCCTTTATTTATATATAAAACCATTAAAATACAATTAGGTCATGTGATATATACATTCTATATATGATATATCCATGATCGACATAAACTTCTGGATGTATAGTACATGACCATTGAATTGCAAAACAACTATTGAATGATTGTTCATACAACACACTGAGCCAGAAACTAACCAAGTACACTTTAAACTAGCATGTTGACAGCTTAATGCTTTTGTTTCATGATCATATCCAGACCTATGGTTGAGAAAGGGGTGAAAGGCTTGTGGCTTTGATTAAACTTCATACATCAATACACCCAAACAGAGTGTGCATCTAGCAGGACATTTAAAGAATTTTAAGGAGAAATCACCTATAAAAAGTCATCTTCAGTGTGCATTCTTCAAATACCTATGTATGGAGACACTTGGGCATGATACCTCCCAGCAGCCACCTTAGGCTGAAGCTATTCCGTTGAAACTTCATCTGTAGCCCAGTAGTGAGATCTTGGAACATGTGTCCACTGGGAGTCCATAGGGTGGAGCAAATTATGTCATACGGGTCATGACATCATTGCAAATCATAGGGTTTGCATCATTTGTACAGTAATATCACAATGCATGAGAATCATTGTGGCCTCCACTTCACCCATAATGAAGAAATTGGAAAGTGGGGGTTCTGATTAAAAAGATGTACACCTGTTTCTTTGACAACCCCTTGTACTCATGAACATCTGCAGCTGTCTGGAACATCAAGGCCATCCTTTCCTTAACACTGATTATTTTTTGCAGCCCTAATTATTTCCTTTGCCCAGAAAGGAGGCACTTTAGGACAGGGTTTTCCCGGCTAAGTGACTGGAGGTAAAAAAGGGAACGTAACAATTTGAGCGAAGCAGCTTGGCTGCTCCCTATAGAACAAGTTCCACCTGCTATCTCTTTTCATGTATGGAATTATTAAAGGGATTCACAGCTGTCCGTCTTTACCTCTGGTCACAAATGGCATGAGGATCTTTGCAAAACAGGGGTCTTGTAGGACTAACTAGTTTGGTTACTTTTCCTGCTCCTCTTTTTGCTGGGTGAATTGTTCTGGCCTGGTTTTAACCCAACAGCCCAGCCTGGTTATTCTGCTCTGCTTTTCCCCCTTCCCTCTGCAAGCCCTTAGGCCAGCACTTAACCAGAGCTGCCCAGTCCTCCTGTGTTTTCCTTACCTTTCAGTCATGGGATGTCCAGCCAGCCAGTGGTCTTTTGCAGAGTTTCTTCTGATGCAAAAGGGAGTAGATGAGCAGGGGGTAGGGAGAGCTTCTGCCCCGCTCAGTGGGATGCAGCCAGAAGAGCAAAGTCAAAGAGCGCATACATCTTTTAACATTCCCACCATCCTAGCAGGGCCTGACTTGGCTCCAAGCCTTTCTTCTCTGTGTGTGTGCGCGAGTGCCTAGATCAAAAGACAGAGGAGAGAAGAAATGAGGCTCTCCAGAGCTGGTCAGGCCGGTTTCAGTTTGGAAAAAGCTGAGAGGCAGGCAGAGTTGGGCGAAGGGAGGTGAGTTTCCCCACAGGCAGCACCAGCACTGCTGGGCCCCGGCGCCCTTGAAAGCCTCCCCCCCCCCCACTGCTGGGTCAGTGACTTATCAGCTGTCTAGCTGAATTATTTACCAGCATTCCTGAGCTGTTTGGTTACCTTCTGGTTTTCTGCCCTCCCTCTGAGACCATCTTAAGGCCAGAAAATAAAAGAAGAGAGAGGGCTGCCACTGACGCTCAAATGGTCCCACTCCATTTATGCATAAAACTCGGTCCTTAATGGTAAGGCTGGCCATACACAGCTCCTGTGGGACCCTCCTTCTGGGTCATCCCGTTTCTGCCCAACTGACTCCTTTCCCCCCAGTGCAAAGCTCTCCTCAGCTTTTTCATGGCTCAGTGAAACAAAGCAAAGCAAAAAAAAAAATAAAATGAAATGGCCAAAGGTTTTCATTTCATGAAATCAGCTGTGTGGCAAAGGGCTTATGTTACAATCATTTCTCTTTTCAAAAGCTGTTCAGCTATCAGAAGACTCTGCAATTGGGTTTTCAGAAACACACTCATGTTTTTCAAAATTATCTCATTTTTCTGGGTTTACATGATCTGACTGCAACAATGTGGATCACTATTAGATGTTAGCAAAGGGATACCTTTGCTGCCATCTTACTGGTCCCTGGATTTTTGTAGCATACTAAAAATCTGTTCCCCCCCCCCAAATATGAAAGCCATGCTGGCTGAATTCATATAGTATACAGGGGTAACATGTAATTAGCAAAATTGGCTTTGTTATTTTTGTTTTAGGACTCTCTTTGGTGTAATCAATAAGATGCGGACTAGGACCAGGGAGACCCAGATTCAGGTCTTCCCTTAGCCTTGGAAGCTCAGTGACTCATTTTGGACCACTTACTCTCTTCACCCATTTATTTTGTGTTAGTAGGTGGGTGGAGAAAGTAGGGTTGTGGTTATGAATTAAAATATGAGAAATGATGGCTGTGTATGTCACCTTAAGTTCCTAAAACTGAACAAGAAAAAGTGCATATCTTGGGAACATGTTGGTGATTCTTGATAGATCCAACGTCATACCTTGCACCCAAATATTCTGGTTTTCAACATCCATAAGTTTGTTTGTTTGTTTGTTTGTTTGTAATGCATTTGTTCATGCATTCATGCATTCATTTTGTTTTAGTCTGCTATAATTCTGTCAAGATTCCTAGCAGTCAAGAATAGGTATACAATATTAAAACATTCACAGCAACAGCAAAATATCCGTATTACAGTAAATAATAGCAACCACAACGACATATGGCCTATTCCCATCAATTCAACATATTCAACCTTGGTAGTGTCATTCCTACACTTTTTTTGGAAGAACTCATTTTTAGCATTTTCTTAAACAATTTCACAAAGTTTATGTAGCTAGAAAGTGACAGATGTCTCTATACCGATTAAAAGTTAAAGTTGTCATAACACAGATTCCATTTTCATCTAATTCTTACAAATCAGCTATCATTTAAAAAGCAGAAAAGCCAAAAGCCTTTGTGATTTTTATGGTGATCTAAAGAAACTTTTATTAAAGCTCCCAAAGATCACTGGAGGGAATCAGCAAAACACAATGTTTTATCACCAATCATAATCTGAGAGAAATGATGAGATATTCCTCCTGAATTACATTTTACCTCCTCTTCCTGGTACTCTAATTCTGTTTAGTGTGCGGTTTTATGAAGCTAACGTAACATGTAGGCTTGAGGTTTTTTATATTTCCTGTCATTTGTCTAGAACAGCACTTTCAAATCTTAAAGCCTTTCTTTGCATCAAATCAGCACACAAATAAGACATCTTTTCTTCTGCTGTATTCATATAATGTCATCTAGACCTTAACCCACAAGTGGCATTATGTTAATTATCCATAATGTTACCAGTAGTATTTTACTGTTTATTGTGCCACCATCTAAGGCAGCTCTCAGATGTATAAATTTCATGGATGTGATCATGCTTATATGCTAGAGAGAAGTCAGTTGACTGTTCTGTCATGAAACAATATAACAGTGGCAGAATAAGGATTAGTAATCAGGACAGCAAATTTCATGCTGATGCAGTTTTATGGGGACAGCACTTGAAGAGAAAACGAATAGATGTGGATCAAATGATCAGTGAAATAAGGAGTTAATGGATTACATCAATTTGGAAGATATGATTTATTAATGCTGTCATGTTAATTCCATGCAAAGAAGACATTATGACGAACAAACTAAGAAGGCAAACATTCCTTTAACGCCTCATTGTCATCTAGTGGTCATCCAGGGTTTTGCAGCCCATGTGTGATAGATATACTTTAAACCCATATAATGTGGTTTGAAGTGTAAATCCAATTTCAGGTAACCAGAAGGGTTATGAACCAGTTTGCCTGGCTATTTACCTGATCTCAAGTTGAGGGTGGGAAATCAGTAAGGGTAATGATGAAGGAGCTAGGAATTGTAATTCAGCAACACTGATAAGATCACAGATTCCCCTGTCCTACTGGTGGGAAAGTCATGTGTTTTGTATATAGCAGGCTCTAAATTCAGTCGCCAGTGCCTCAAGGTAGTGCTGGAAAGAACATCTGAACCCTTGGGGAACTGTGGCCAAGACAATGTCCTACTGAGATGGAGGGCCAATGGCATTTTTGTTACTGTCTTTTTATGGTCCTGGGACATCTGGCAAGCTTACCATGAAATAATTTTAACCTGCATTCTGTGAAGAAGAAATAAAACCACAAATGAAGTCCTTCATAATCACACAGTAAGTCATGAATCAGTTAAGCTGTTATTTACTATTATAAGGTCTGCAGGTTCTGCTCATAAAACTGAACCAACCCAGTGCAACCGTGGGCTGGAACCAGCAGCATTAACCCTGATGCTGTCACCCTCCTCATTTATGTATCTGTCTTCCTTATCTATAAATGACTCCTGCCTTAGGCAGGCAGTTGGATTAGAAAAATCTCAAAGGATCCTTCCAGCCCTATGATTCTAATAGCAATCAGGAATATTTCTATTGTGATTACCGGTAATCCTCTTGCAACCCCTGCTGGCAAGGAAATGTAGTTCCCTAGTTACAGTACTTGCCTTCTTTCCACATTTCAACTGCTGCTATCTCCATATTTCAAAAGTTTTCTCCAGAGCACACACCCTGTTCTTCCTTATTCTCACTATTTTCCATAGCTCTTTAGTGGGAAAACTGCTGTGGGATCTGATCTTTCAGAAGAAAATGTGGTTCTGTGACTACTGAGTCACACTGTTTCCAACCAAGAAAGTTTACACTCCTATCTCTGATATCAGTTTTTCTTTTGACTCAAAGTTTAGATAAGCATGCCAAACAAAAGGTGTACTATTCTTCCTTTTCCAAACCAATAATTAAATATTAGCTTCTCTTCCAAAATATCTTTAGCCATAAGAAACAGGTGGAACTTACATTAAAAATAAACTTATTAATAAAATTGGTTAAGATTTCTGTGCAGCCTGTTTTATGTTCTTCTATCTACTTCTCTATGTATTTCATATATTATGAGACAGAACAACTTCTTCTAAATCTTGTATTTTTCTCTAGTTTTCCCTGCCCTGCAATCCTAACAGAGGTATTTGCATTTTCATTAAATGTTTAAGTAGTTAAAAATGTTTATATTCAGGCATTCAGTGGAATGCCATTGTTGCTGTTTCACTCTTGATTTCAGCAGCATTTTACAATACACTATAACCACACAAATTATTTCCATGTCAGTGTATTTGAGCCTCAGAATGTAAAATATGCCTGTGAACGTCCTGGATGCCAGTCCTGGCTTCAAGGAGAAGAGAAGAGCATCCAGATGAGAAAGAACAGAAGATCTGGCTCCTGACAGAGTCTCTCTCCATTCCCCCACCATTAAAGGCACTTGGTTACCTGTTTTTATTTTTAACTATCAAAAGCATTTTTTGTGTTTGCCTAACATGCCTTTGACACCTTCAAGTTCATCTCTCAGGAGTATTAAGCAGCTTAGTCTTCTAAAGACAGCTGTATACCAAACACTGCCCCACCAGGAAAGGTTTGGTGATTAGCAAGACAGAAATAGAAATACATTGATGTAGGCTAATTTACAGGGTGTTGGGAAGAAGGGAGATCCCATAGACACAGTATGCAAGAAGATAAGTTTCCTGCACACAACTAGAATACATGACTCAAGACATGGTCCCCAGAATCTTTGCAAACATCCTTGCTTGGTGGATGTTGGTGTGTTAACACTCAAGCTGTATACAAAATTGGATTTGTAAAATTATTGGGTCTTTTTTTTAATTTTAGAGCCCTGGTGATGATAATATTCTCTCTTGCAGTGTATGTACTGAGTCCCAACTTGCACCATCATTTGTGAATGCACTTTGGCAAGGAGGCCTTATTATCCTCAAGGCATCATAGATAATACTTTACCCTTCTAACATGGAATGAATTCTATTAGTATCTCCATAACTGTGTATCTTGCTCTCTGGCCATTAATATCCAAGACTAATTACAAGCAGACTGTTTCCTTTTAATTTTCCGATATTCTTTGTATTCTTCCCTCAATCTCCATATACACATTCTTGATGAATAATTTTGTGCAGGATTGTTACCAGCACAATCCAGTATGTGGGAGGCAATTAACCTGGTGCCCTCCAGTTGTTTTGGATCACAGCATAATTTCATGTCCAGTCAGAGAAAAATGCAGAATGTGTTGGATAATTTGCAAGTCAAAATGTCAGCATTGTTTTTGAAGCTCAGTTCATTTTCCTCTCTGGAGCTTTCACTGTGTTTTGTGATGCCAACCTATTTCTGCTTGCTACATCATAGAATACTACTATGTTCTCATTTCAACCCAGAATATAACCTAGACTTTTGCAGAGAGTTGGTTGTGTCATTTTGCCACTTGCCTACATGCCTGCCTGCCTCTTTGGATGGGCATGGATAGAGAATGGGATTTCTCAGATGAAAAGAACTGAATGAACTGGGGGGATTCTAACTTTGGGGGATGTAGCAGGTGAAGAGAATGACATCAACAGGGGTCTGACAAACAGCTGGACTACCCATTTCAAAGCAGGTGGTAGAATGCGTAGAGCACTTTCTCTGCTGCATATCATCTTTTCATATTTTAATTGCTGCTTTGTGAAATTCACTGTCCAACGATGTGTTTCTTGTTGGCTATAGAATGGGTCCCCAACCTCTGGTCCATGGACTGGTGCCAGTCCAGGGCATGCCAGAAACTGGGCCACGCAAACAAGCGAAGCCCCATCTATGGGATGCAGGCAGCACATGAAGCCAAACCCGCTCTGGTCCATGGAAAAACCTCTCTCCACAGAACCAGTCCCTGGTGCCCAAAAGGTTGGGGGCCACTGGGCTATAGCAAAGCATTTCTGAACATATTGCCTACAGGAGTTTAAACAGATTTGGAGGCAAAATAGAGGAGGAAAAAGAGGTGGTCATCATCTTATTATGGCTTAGCATGGTGGTGTAGTGAGGCCAGCCTGTAGATTGTAGAGTGTTAAATTTTATCTTGGCACAACATTTGAATCCAGCCATTGTGCTGAAGTTATAGCCCTAGTGCAACACTTGAATACACCCACTGAGGTTTAATAAATACAACATGATTAAAGCAAGTTGTTGCTTAATGTGATTTATAAACCAACCCGTGATTAAAAATATATAGATGCTACAAATACCTGAATGTTTTCATTTGTGAATTATAGGGTGGTTATGGTACATGGATTGAATCCTAAGGCATGTTGCTGGGAGCAGCAATTTTTCTGCCATGTGGTTCTCAATTATTTCCTTCCTAGTGTTTTCCCACAAGTGCAGGATTGACTTTTTTTTTTAATCAGTCGAGTGTTGATCCATTGGTTGCAACAGGAATTGACTGATTGGCTTATTACCTGACCTTGACATCATAGTCTCAGGGTGACTAGCACAAAATCACCCAGCTGGCTTTCATGCTTAAAATGGAAGTAGAATTCAGTTTTCTGATTGATAGAATTCACCACTAAATCAAACCGGCTGTCTTATCTGATTCTCAATGTAGATCCAAAAAATTAGTCATGTCTAATAGCTATGCTTTACTTCAGGAGACTATCCCAAGATCTCTTGCAGCACTCTGTGGCCCAGATCCCATAAATTGTGCGAAGCCAGCTGTTGTGTATATCCAAGCTTTCTGCGTATGGGAACATCTAAACCCACTTATGGCTTCATTGGCACCCTCGCTATTTTGTTCTCTATCAGTTCTTCAGCATAGCTGGAGAGCTTGGTGTAGTCAGGTTTACCCTGTGTATAGTTGACCTTGCACTCTCTCCTTCCTTTAGTGCTTTTTTTTCTTCTTTTCCATTCATCAAATTGATCCTAATCTCCCCAGGGTGACGTGAAACATTTTGAAGGAACATTTCCTTCTCATTGCTACAGGCTCTAGAATCTGGATTGCTCAGGTTTCAGCCTAGATAATAATAACGTATTTGGGACAGGAGGTGACTTTGCTATACCTCAAATCCCTGGAAAGAGCTCTATGGATCTTGGTACCTCCATAGATTGTGCCTGCCATACCCTTGCCTTCCCCTCTGCCCTCTCCCCTCCCCTCCAGATGGATCCAGTCTGTGCCAGGCAGCAAAGGGTGACTCAGGAAAGTCTCTAGTCTGAGTGTTAGTTAATCAAGCCCTTGAATGTCCTCTAATCCTACCAAACAACAGAATTTGATCTTTCTCTCTTTCAGTCTTTCTGTCCCACCTCCAAACAGAGGGGAGAGGAATGTCCCAGAGGACAACTAATCCAAGCAGGTCCTTTAAGCGGCAAGGTGTCAAGCAGCCTCCATGGTCCAACAGAAGCATCTCGGGACTCTGTAAGATGCAGAAGAATTGGTGCCCAGCTCTTAAACCACAGAATGGAGCTTCTTAGAATTAGTGGATTTCTAAGACAGCTTGAATTCTTTGTATTTATTCCCACTTTCCTGCCATAGTTCTCAGCATGGGAACATCCCCAGTTCAGATTGCTAACCTGGATGTCCCATGACTTGATGGTTTGCCTCTAAGCTCTTTTAAGCATGCAAACATTTCATGGCTCAGCTTTTCTCTTCCAGTTGTCTTCTGTTCTGCATTTTCTCAAGCCATGAGCATGGCTGTTTTTAGCACAGCTGATCTATGCTAACCATGTAGATGCTATAATTGAGTAACAGAAAAATAATTCAATGGAGAGAAGGAAATACTTGGGAATGCTTGTTAATGAAAGCACTGCTGGTAATATCCAACTAAGACTGACCTGTGGTGTAGACTTGTGGCCTTTCAGATGTTATTGGACTACATCCCTTATAGACATCTGGGCAAATCAAGATAGTATCAAAATAATATATGCAGGCTAACATCATGACTCAAACTCCACCCTTATCTACTTGCATCCAGATATTTGATGGAAGTATGTAAGCTGTGGGTTTGACTTGTGATGTCTCAATGTACATTTATGACATACTGTACATTTTGTTATTTGCCTCCCAAATGCCCCCTGGACTTTTGACAGTTAGATTGTGGTGGAAACAAGTAGCACATTTTATATGTTGTCATCATTGTCAGCCATTCGGTGATGACTTATTTTTGGCAACTCTATGGATCAGCACTCTCCATGCCCCTCCGTCTCTCACTGACTCCTTCAGATCTGCCATGGCCATCCTGGGATCATCCTTTATAGTATTCAGACTGGGTACTAGAGCAGCCCCTTCTCCTTTTTCTGCTGATCACTTCCAGCATTGATTGACTTTTCAAGTGAGTTACCTCTCATGCCATGACATTTTATGCAGAAATAAGAAAATACCAAAAGAATACAATAATAGAAAAGAATAAAAGAATAAAAATAGAAAGCTCTTGATCTATAAGGGTGATCACAAATCATTATTTTGGGAGGCGAGTGACGCCTTTTCTATCCATCCATTGTCTTCATATCATGGGTCAGTAAGTCTTCAGATGGGATTCCCAATTTATTGGGGCATGGCATTTCCCCCTGGGGAATGCTGTAGTCAAGGAGGAATAATTTTACCTATGGAAGGATAGAACAGGAAAACAAAAAACTACTTTGCACTGAAAACTTTATTCCCCCCTTTCCCCCCTCCCCATTCCTCTGTCTAAGAAAATTGGCCAGGAATGTTTATCTGCATAAATCCTTCTTCTTCTCAAATTATTAGCTTGTGAACAAATGCAGTCCTTCCTGCCCAAACAAATATTTTGCTGGGTCAGAGACAGGCTCGCTACTTTAGCTACCCAGTTCCAAGGGTGACCAGACAAATGCCTCCAAATCCATAATCACAATAGGAAGACAAGGGTCTCCCCCTTGTGAAGGCAGTGCTTGCTTAGTATCAGGAGCTGTACTATTTCTGTACATGGAAGCTCCATTCATCTCATAGCGAAGAACTTTTGACAAGCAAGGGTTCATCTTGGCTTTTTAAAGAATCCTAGATGTGTTCTTTCATAAGATTGAGCTTTAACACTGGCCAGCTGCCTGAGCTTGGTTGTACACCTGCGTTTTGGGCTTCAGAGTTATGTATTTCCTTGGCAATTCTTTTTGTAGTCTTGGCTGAGGGAGTCTTGCCAGCAGATTAGCCTCAGGCGTGTAATTGGCTGAGTGGCTGAGCATAAAACACTGGGAGGCACTAAGCACTTAGCACAAAGCACTGGATGCATTTTTGGCTGGCTGGGACAGAGTAAGGGTCTAGGAGTCTGGCCGGGCGAGATCGAAAGCACCAGAGGCAGGTAAGACAAGTCCCAGCTGGGCTGCTAAGAAACCCCTGCTGGGCATTGCTGCAGGAAAGAAAGGATGAAGAAAGAAAGGGTGGTTGCTATGTAGGCAATTACATACTGTGTAATTATTCTGAGAATCACGAGAAGAAAGGAGTGAGAGAAAGAAGATTGTTAAGAACGTATTTATTTATTAGATGTATAGCCTGCCTTTATTTTCTATAATTAAATTTGGTTTCCCCACGACAACCACTCTGCTGGGCTGAGAAAACGCAACTCACCCAAAGTTGTACTCCATGTCTAAGGGAGAACTGGAACTCACGGTTTCCCAGTTTCCAGTTCAGTGCCTTAACAATTATTCCAGACTGACTCAGGTGTGATATTGCAGACATTGGAGTTGTGTCATCCCCCAAACCATTGTCTCTTTATCTATTCACCATTCATGAATTTACAACTTGTTGGCCAGGAGGAAAGTACATCAAAGCATCCAATTGTGGGTCACCTCTCTTTGACAGCCATTGCTCTCAGGCAAAATGCTTTTGTCACTAAAAGATAGGAAAGAATTTTTTTTAAAAAAAATAGTGGATTTTAAAATAGTGGATTTTTAAAAACAGTGGCTTAGCATCTAATTTTGTCTGTTTCTAAGAACAGGCTTTCCACTCCCTTTTCCTGAGCTTTTTCTTCCCCAACGCCTATATCTGAACTTCACTTGTTGCCTGTTAAGAACAGAAATGTTGTTGTACCTGATTTTCACAAAACCAAACCAAGATCTATGCTGGCAGATGGAGAATTTCCTTAATTATACAGTTGCAAGCTTTTAATTGTATCAGTGGAAGGAGTTGAAACTGGATTAGCTATGCAAAGCATCTGCTCTACCCCTTGGCTGCCTAAAATCCATAAAGCCAGTAACTGCAGGGGGTAATGAAATGAAGTGAGGCTCTGGGAGACTCTGAAGATAAGCTAAATGCCTGTTGAGGATAGCTGAAGAAGGAACTTTCCAAACTCCTTTTTCCCCAATTCCGGGAGACAGAGGAGGAAAGAGATGGTGGAAGAGCATTTCCTCAAGTGCTAGCAGAACATTCTCCTGAACCGTGGTCTGTTTTTATGGAAGGCAAGTCTTGATCAATGGTACATCTGCTTTTCGTGGGGACATTTTGTTTCATGCACAGTTCTAGAATGGTCAGAGATGGCTTGTTTAAAGTTTGGCATCTTATTCCAAAAACAGGTCAGGTGATGGATTTTTCATTCAGTTTTCCAGGCAAGTGTTGGAAGTTTTTTGTATCCAAGTATATAGTATGAGGGAAGAAAGATTTGGGTAAAGGGGGAGACCAGTTGGTACTTACCAGCCTTTTTAAATCCAAGGGAAATTTATTATACATGGTTCACTAAGCCCAGTTCCTAACCAGGAGAGAAGTTTAAAATTGGTCTGGTTCCAGGGAAGCCAAAGATGTCCATCTACTCTTTTTTTTTTTTTTTTTTGGTTCTTCTGAGGCTGGGTGAGTATTTGAGGCTTTTCATTAAAACTGCAACCTTTTAAGCGATAGGTCTAATATTTTGCTGTAAAGTTCTATTCAACTGCATAGAAAACAAAGGATCAGAAAATACTTTGAGAGGAACTGCTCTTTCTTAAGTTTGGAGTCAACACTGAAGGAATTGTATTAGAATTGAACCTGAAAAAGAGGCATACAATTTCTAATGCTAATTGGTGGTAATTAATTGATGGTTTTTGGGGGAATGCCAGAAATATGACCACTATAATGCAAATATTTGTAATTTGAACGAACAAAGTGTTACGGTGCTTAGCCTGACATGCTTTTGGTGTGGTTTTCAGGAGAACTGTGCCCATTTTATTACTCTGAAGGGCAGCCCCGGCCAATAATTGAAAATTAGATTAGGTGAACTGGAAGACCCTTTCTTATTCAACCTCTACTGATGTGGACAGGCAAATATTAAAAGCAACATACAACAATGTAGGCATAAATATCCAAGGGGTATCCAAAATATAAGGGAATGCAGAAAATATTTATTCTTGCTCTGCTGTCCACATATCCTGTCCAGAATATTTCCCTACCAACATTTTGCAAACCTGTCTTTTGCCCTTCGATATTCTTTTCTTTTACTGTCAGAAGGGGGAGCCATTGTCTCATTTAAATTTCTCATTTCCTTAAAAAGTGTAGGACCGCCTGAAAGGCTGACAAATTTTGAAAAGTGGAGGTTTTCTTAAAAAAAAGAATGGACAACCATTTGGGATAGTCCAAGGGTCCTGCCTTTTTTTAAAAATTTGTTTTTATTGTTTTTATATCACAAATTCCATTTCTAAATTGAACAGTGTGTTTTCTAGGTACAAAAGTGTTAAAATTTAAACATCCTCATAATCATTATGATCCTATCAACATACAAACATATAGTAGATACTATCAATCATTGTTATAAAGTATACTATCTTCCATATTAACATCAATTATATAAGCATCACATTGTTTACTAATCAATTTTTCTTTCTCATATAATCCATATTTCCTATAAACCCATCCATCTGATCTCTGAATCTATCACCTAACCATTTGTTAAAAAGTTCCCATGTCATAAAATATTCAGAATCTTCTTCTTCTGTAATTTTTAGCATTAACCTATCCATTTCTGCACATTCCATTATTTCTTTTTATTATATTCTCATCTGTGGGGGTTTGTTCATTTTTCCAATATTGTGCATATTCAATCCTGGCTGCTGTTAAAATATGTAAAATTAAATATGTATTACCCTTATTATACTTTTCTGGTAGCATGCCTAACAGGAATATCTCAGGTTTCAAGTCTATGTATTGTTTTATCATAGCTTCTAGCCATATGTGAATTTTCTTCCAATATTTTTTTTGCTTTGGGGCATGTCCACCACATGTGATAATATGAACCTGGTGTTTGGTTACATTTCCAACATTTGACAGATTTATCTATGTACATATTCACTATTCTTGCAGGTGACAAGTGCCATCTAAAAACATTTTATAGAGATTTTCTTTATACACTGTTGACATTGTAAGCTTGTAGTTTCTATTCCATAATTTCTGCCATGTGTCTAATTCAATTGTATAGCCAAAATTCTTAGCACAAATTATCATAGTTTCTTTTACTTTTTCTTCCTCCAATTTAATGGTTACATATCCTCTTAATTAATTTTTCATCGGTTCCCATTAGCATCTGATCTAGCTCATTTGGTTCTTTATAAAACCCATATGCCTTCCTGTCTTTTTCGTATCTGGACTGATAGGTCAATCCCTGATCTGTTTAGTTCTTGTTTAGTTTTTAGTTCTCTCCTTTCATTTAGTATGTCCTTATATCTTATGATTTTTTCCATATTTATGAGATTTGGGTGTATCACCGCCTCCATTGTAGATAACCAAATTGGTATTTTCTGATAATGTAGCTCTTTGATTTTAGTCCATACTAACAGTAATGCCTTCCTTAATGTAGTGCCTCTGGAAGTAGCTACGGTATGTATCTCACCCTTCTTGTACCATAGAAAGGCATGCCATCCCAATTGCAAATCATGACCCTCCAGTGTTAGTGATCTTATATTCCTCAAATTAATCCACTCCTTCACCAACATAAGTGCTGATGCTTGGCAGTATAGCTCCCAATCTTGCCTCAAGGGTCCTGCCTTGAATAGAGGGTTGGACTAGCAGACCTCCGAGATTCCTTCCTGCCCTATGATTCTATGTCTTCTATGAATAGGTTATTACCTAAATTATTAACATGAAATATATACAACAATAAAATTATAAGGCACTAATTTGACAGTTGAAGCCCATAAGATGAAGGGAATATCAGAAAAGCAACAAGTCACATTAAACAGATTAATGTTCTTTGTTCTAGATCTGTTGGAGAAAGAACCATTTTCCATATGACCACAGAAGCATTATTCCTGCCCCCTCTTGGCTCTGGGCTGAAGCACATCAGCCAGGAGAGCTCAGAAGTGGATGAATTCAGGCAGATGGTGGGAACCAAGAATGTGGTTGAGGATGTTTCTATAACCTCTGAACCCAGTAATCCATTGATACCCCCACTTGAAGATGCCAGCAGTCTCATTGCCAAAAAAAATACAGTAGAAGAATTATCCAATTTAATACAAAAGGATGCCCCTGTGGAGAAAACCTCATCTCCAGTCATGCTTTCACAAGGAATGGATATGGCACCTGTCTACAACCAACTAGACCAAGGGCAAGAGGCTAGCCGGATCAAGATGCCAAATGTCTGCTCAGAGCAGCAGAAAGAAGAAAGTACTTCATGTCAGCTGGCACAAGGAGAGACTGGCAGTTGTCTTGAGTGTCATGACAATATTTTAAATGTTTTTCCAGAATTCAAGCACTCAAATGGAACCTCAATACAAGAGGTCCAAGGAGTGGAGACCAACCTGTATCACTGCTCTGATAAAGTTCCTGTTGTGCCTGCTGATTTCCTGAAACCTTTGGAATGTGTCCAAAAGGCTAAAAAGAATCCTCTTGTTTATGATGGAACTATTTCAGATGTTGCTTCAGAGCAACAGACCTCCAAAGACATCTCTAATCAACCAGATCAAAAGATAGAAGATGACACTGTAGATCATTCTGTCCAATCTTTTGATGTGTATTCAGATTCACCAGAGAAACCAGAACTTTCCAGTAGCCTCAAACAAATTCCTGCCTGTGAAGAGAAAAGCGAAGGTCTCACTTCACCTAAATCTCTCAATTTGTTGTGTCTGGAGACCAATTGTCAAAACCAAACAGGGGAGGGAGAGTGTTTTATCTCCAGTCATTCTAATTTTGATTTGACAGGTGAACTTCAGGGAACCTTTCATCCTACCAACATTCATGAAGAAATAAAGTCAAGTTGCCAAAAAATTACAGAAACAGGTAATGAAGAAATAATGCCCAATAGAGAGAATGACCTTTTACCTTCAGAAAACTACCAGAATCATGTCAATGAGAAGTTTTTGAGAAAAGCTTTGGAAGATAATTCTCAGGCAACTGATGAGCAAGTCACCCAAGATTCTTCCTCCAGTCCAAATTCATCTTCCCTGGCATTAGCAGGCTCCAAGCTAGATGTTGACATCTGCTGCCAGCAGAGGGCATCAGGTACAGGTTGTGACACTCTACCTCAGAAACAGTCGGCACGGTCTCCTGTGGCAACCAATGACTCCTGTGGACCTGCCCACCAGGGCCTGGCTCCTGTATGTGACGGGCAAGACAGGGAAGGATTGGCTATTCATGAGTCAAGAGGAGCTGGCAATAATAATCAGTCCCAGGGTGAGGTTGGAGCAGAGTGTGTGCTGGAATCTGAGAGGCAAAAAGAAGCGACCAGGGACTCTGAGCCTGGAGAAAATACCAGCCAGCCAGAGGAAGCAGAGAATCTGACTGGTGCCAACAAACTGGACAAAGCATTTCCTGACTCACAAAGCCTGACGGGTACAAGTAATCCAACTTGTCCCAGAGAGGCAGCTGGTGCAATGGTTTTAGCCAGTGTTGAAGATCTGCTAGATACCAGGAACAGAGCAGACTCTCGAGGTTTAGCTAATGCCTCTTTAGCTAATGGGTTAGATATTACTACAGAGAATTCTGGCTTGAATCCAACACCAAGAAAGGGATTACTTCTTGATGTTGCAGACCCCACCAGTAGCAGAGATCTGGTGAGCCCAGAAGATCCAACTCTTGCTGCACCTCCTGCTGAGGAACACTTGGTGACTGAAGAATCAGATTGCCCCACAGACCTGATGGGAAATAATACCTATGAGCCTGAGAACCCTTCTCACACTACTGAGACCCCAATTGAGCGAGAGATCCGTGTACATCTGGAAAGGGAAGAACTTCTACGAAGGGAGAGAGGCCTGGGCAGTTCTCGAGGTACCCAGGAATATGTGGAAGTGTGCATCAAACCTATCTTGAACCAAAGTATGGCATCCTCCATAAAACCGAAGGAGAAGGAGCGTCAGTGGGCTGGTGTCCAGATGCAGAGGGAGATTCAACGGGAGTGTCGGCGTGAAGAGGACCTAGTGCAGTTGGGCAAGGTGAGAGGTACCTATGACCGTGGTACACCCCAAGAACTGCAGGAGAAGAAGATGATTTTTGAGCAATATTCCCACCCTGAGACACCAGACTTCAAAAAGGTGGTGCATAGCAGCGGCAGCAACAGCTGCACAGAAAATGCAAGGGGACCATCTTTTGCTGAGCTCAATCGGATGTCCAATATGATCATCCTGGACTCTGGTGTTTTAGCAGAACCAAAGCAGCATACGCCAGGGAGAGCCTCCTTGGCTAGCCCCTTTTTCTGCTTGCGTGCCAAAAGCTCTCAGTCTCTGTTGGATCAGGAGGTCCGGGAGGTCCAGGAACGAGAACGGGAGCTGCAGAGGCAGAGGCTCGCCCTGTATGGCTCATCATTGCCTTGCCACCCAGCAGAAGACTCCAATGAGGAAGTTCCCTCCCCACCAGGTAAGTACTGTAGTAGGGGAAAAGTGGGGTGAAGAGAAAAATGAAAAAGGATCACATGCTTGGCTTTGAGTTGAGGAATCAAAGCAAGCAGGTGATCCTTTTTTCATTCCTCTCTTCAGTTTCCCCAAAACGGTTTTTCCCAAACTGTTTTGTCATTCAAATAGACTACAGCTCCCCTTATCCCAAGCGGGATATGTAGCCCATTTGGAGAATGCCAACAATTAGAAATGAAAGCAAAAGGAATTTGGGTGAAATAGAGGGGCAAGAAAAAACTAAAAGAAAGTTCTTCAGGAACAGATCATAGCTGAACAAACTGTGGAATATCACTCCAGTTATAATAGCCAGCAGCTTTGATCAGTTTTCTCCTTTCTGAGGACTTTGAGATGTGTTGGGATTATATCACCAAGAATTCCCCATTCATGTGTAGAACACTTGTTTGGGGAAGATTGGCTAGATGGCTGTAAGGGGAAATTACACTGATTTATGAATAAAACCATCACTTTTTAGAAGGCGCATAATTCTGTAAGCTGGAAAAGCCTTCTGTGTTTTTTGGAGGCTTCTGGGCATCCAACAGAGGCATGCAAATCCAGAAGTATATTTGCTCTCCTGTTCCAGGCCTCTTCTGAAATCCACTCATTCTGAGACTAGTTTGTTGGGGTCAAGGGGTTAAAGTGCTTGATCTGGTCAGTCAAATCACATTGCAATATGGTCTCACTGCATGACCTTGAAATTGCTGCTCGGTCTGGGATATTTAAAAAGAAATGCAAAACGGGAAGGCACAGAAACCTGAGGACAAAAGTATGTTTGGGGAAAGGATTCTGAACGGGTAGCAGGGCCCACTTTTATGCCATTTGTTCAAGCTTGAAGAAAGAAAGAGGAAAACTGTGATGTCATACAACGCTACATTGATGCCATAGAATTCTGTTTTTAATCTTGATTTAGTCTGTTTGCCACTAGCTTTTTCATACATTGCTCATCCTAAAGACAGCAGTGCATTCAGATTCTTCCTCATTTCAACATGATAAAATGAGCTAATGATATAAAGAAAACTAGGGCAGACAAAATCTGGTCCATCCAAGTGTTTTGCCTTCAGATCCCATAAGGCCCTGTCAAGAGGGCCGATAGTAAGGACGTGTGAAAACTAGGCCTTGATTGTAGTGACACAGGTTTTTGACTCCTTCCTAACATTTCTCTGCTGATTTCTAAGGCCTAAGAATGTTGCATGGGCTGCAGTTGATCTCTGGATGTCTCACTGCTTGCCAGCTAATGTGATGCAGTGATAAAAGAATGTTGGACAAAAGCAGGAAAACCTCTGTTCAAATCCCTTTAATATCATCTGTTGGTCTTGTAACCATCAGTCTATCTGTATCATACATGTATTTATATGTGTGTGTTTGTGTGTGTATAGCATGTATGTGTGAGTATAGCATGTATGTGTGTGTGTATGTGTTATGTATGTGTACTGTACACTTTTGAGAGCAGACAAGAGAATTTCATGCCAGTGTGCCCACAGTAAAAAATGACAATAAAGGTTATCTATCTACCTATCAGCTGATACAGAGTGAAATGTAGCATGAGAATTTGGCATCCAGAAGACAAGGCATGTGTATCCAGAGGGTGGAAATAGGTTTCTAGGGTGTTATAGCAAACACTGGGTTGAACTTTAACAGAGGCAAGACTGAAAGGGAAAGCTGGGTGTGAATGTTTATGGCTCTGAGTATATTCTCAAAAGAGGTGTGGAACCCATAGAAGAAATGTGGCAGAAACACACGGAGGAAGAAGAATCCATTTCTGATTTGTCTGTGGCAGTGCTCAGGCCATGCTGAGCTCATTCTTATATTATGGCTAGACATAAAGTAGCTTGGAATTAAATGTATTACGCAAACCCAACCATCATGGCTTGTAATCTGTAGTTTTTTTTTAACATGATGTACAGTATGGAGCCTGCAAGTTGTAAATCATTTCTTTAACCAAGTTTAAATGTACGTGTGAACCCAGATACTTGCTGAATTTAAAGCCCTTCCCTGTTATTGGTTCCTTTGTCTAGCCATGTCAAGCCCTTCCAAAGACCTGGGATAGGCAGATCTGGATGTTTGATAGTGTTACAGATATCATCTCAGGATGTAAGCTGTTCCAAGTAAAGCTGCAATTAACTGATGTTGTTGTTGTTGTTGTTGTGTTATTTTGGCATAATGATGGACGAATGACTCTAGAGGTGGCTACAAGCTGCTAGTTGGGGGGAATGACCACAGAAGCATTCCCTTGCTAACAAGACTGTGTAGCTCCTAAGACTGATTTGGCTTCCTTTTTCTTTCTTTGCAGAGAGACCTTCCTGCAAGAAACTGGAGGTCACTTGGCCCCCTCCAAGCACTTCAGAGAACATTCAGGTGAATGGCCTCCACCAGGTAACAAGCAGGGTAGCCGCAATTATAGTCACAGCTGTGACATGTCTATGGAACAAAGCTAGATATAATATGCTCTTAGCAGTCCCAAGTATGTCTCTGTGTGTGTGTGAACAGAGAGAGAGAGAGAGAGAGAGAAAGAGAGAGAGAGAGAGAGAGAGAGAGAGAGAGAGAGAGAGAGAACTATGATCCTGTAAGAGTGTGGGGCACAATCCTCCTGTCTCATTCATGAATTTATTTTAGAACGTCCAGATAACTTTTTCTTGTTTCTTTTTCAAACCTTCCCATGTTTTCCCACCATCTTTGTTTGTCACGTTTTTTAAAAAATCCCATTACTGTGGGTAGTACTCATCATTCTTAAAGCACTTAAAGTAGTAAGAGGCAGGTTAAAAAGGGAGAAAACTTGCAGGAGATGTTAACCACGGTTCACCATATTCCATCTGGTTCTTCACAATTATTTCATACTGAAGCTCTTAGTTCTCCTCTAAAGAATATAAGTGATTATCTTGCTACAGATCAAAATTCAGGTTCCTAGAGCCTTTCTCCATTCTCAATCTGCCCCTTCCTCAGTCGATGGCCTGGAACAAGGGTCCAAAAATACAAAGTATTCAATTCAACATTCCAACTTTCATTCTGTGGCCTCAGAGCAAGACCAAGGTTTTTAGCTTTTTTCCACAGTTTTTGCAATTCTCCAACCCAATCCAAAATGATTTAGAGAAATTATTTTGGTAGTGATCAGTCTGATCCCATCCACTTTCACTATATGGATCATGCTGTGTTGTAGAAAAACCAATACAGCCCTGAAACCAATAGAAATCTCTAAACTATAGGCTTTCTATAATCTCTAATTTATCACTCCCTCCAATTCCAAACAGCACAGTGGTATTGTCAGGGGTAATGGGCTTTGCAATCAACATATACCTAGGAATATTAAAGTTGAAAGATGAGGCTGCTGTACTCTATAGCAAGTTTTCCTGACTGCACTTGGAGATGCTGGGGATTGAACCTGGAATTATCTGATTGCAAAGTATATAAATACTATGAATGCAAAACCATTCCCTTGTTTTGCCTCCTATTTGTTCCTTCTCTTTGCCATCTTCCTCATTGTTAACACTGTGGTTCATTATTCCTTGGAGAAAAGAAACTTTGTTGTTCTTGTAACTTATTCTGCTGTTTCAAAGCTTTAAAATAACAGTAAGGCCCTGCTCACTATTTATCACTAGTAGCTTTGATTTGCTTTTGCAGTCATCATCTCCCCATGGTCTTTCTCCATAACCCAGAACTTTATTGCATCCAATAGAAGCAGTTGCAGGATTGTAGTTTTGATAAGAATCTGTTCCTTTGCAAAGATCAGATTCTGAAATTTACTTTGAAATATATGAAGCGTTTGCTAAGGATGTCTATGGTTAGCCAAGTCCCATTTTATGTCATGGTGTGATAAGTATGGATGGAGCTTGAATGAATTTATCTTTGTATGTTTGCATGAATGAATGAATGAATGAATGAATGAATGAATGAATGAATGAATGAATGATCAATTGGCATGGGAGTCTAAGAGTGGCATGCAACCCTGGTTGGTGGCTTAGGGTATTCCCTCCATATTTTTTTTAACTTTTGTAATTCTTAACTTTTAACATTTTTAAACTCTATCTTTAATACTGTTTTAATTATGTCTCTTTTTATTTGCAAACCTCCTAAAGTCACTTATGTGAGGTGAGTGGTGTAGACATTGATAAATAAAATAAATATAGAGGGTGACAGAGAAAACTGAGCTCCTTACCTTTTATGTGGTAAAATGCAGCTAGGAGTGTACATGCTTAAAGTGAGGCGCCTGCAAATTCAGCTCTTCAATAATATGTCTGAATATGCACTATTCAGGTCCTTCTGTTGCATGTGCCTCTTTAAAAGAGACAAGAATGGTACGGTACCTAACTCATGTCTACTCATAGCTATAGTTTATCATACAAAAAGTGGCTCAACTTTGTCATACTCTTATCTTTTGCAGAGAGAGTTGTACAAGATAATGTCTTGCACAAACCATTCTCACAAAATGGACCTGCGTGCATTTCTGCAGAACACAAAACCCTTGCTGCTATTTAAAACAGTGGGGAAAAATGCTGATCCCCCCCACCTTTTTAAAAAAACAAAAACAAAACATAACTCTTTCAATGGACTCATTGTACTGCAATACATTTACATTTGTTTCCTTTGTCCTTGATAGCAGCAGGAAAATAATTAAACTGTAATAGTAGTGCTGAGCTATTATTCTTACAAGTTTTCATATCTAATCTCATGTGGTTGCAGATATTGAATATTCACATGCTTCAGTTTCTTTTTGTCCTTTATTGAGAGAGTCTAAAAACAACAGCAGATTTTTCTGTCTGAAGTTCCAGTGGGAAGCAATTGACCTGTTACAAGACTGAAGGAGCTTCTATGGGGTTTACTTGTGTTTCTTTTTCATGCCTGGACTTCTCCCCTTTCCTAGAAGAGGACCCTGGAAGTGCCCTAAATGGCCAACATGCTGGTACCACCACTAAAGGACAAGATTGCAAGTTGTGCCTTTGCTGCAACGATTTGGAATTTATTTATTTATTTATTGTTTATTTATTTATTTAACATATTTCTATCCTGTTTGATTTCAGTCAAGCCAACAGAGATACATGTTAAAAATACAAAAGAGCAACCATATAATTAAAACAATCACAGATTTTATAAAACTTCAGGGTTTTTTTTTACACCGGGGCTGTTAGAAATGCTGTCAAATGAAATAACACACAAGTCTTTAGACTGTACAGCTGCAGTCCTTAAACAAATCCATTCTATATTTTTCAGTGACATATCTGGAGCAGTGGATGATTTCTTGAGTTAAAAATAAGTTTTTAACTTCTTCTTAAAACAAACCAGAGAATGAAGTAGTTCTAATTCTAGAAGGAGGGAATTGTGCAAGGTTGGTGCTGTCACCAAGAAAGCCTTACACCTAGTCAATTCTTGGTAAGCCTCCCTCTGGGTTAGTTCCTATAGTCAGCACTTCCAGGAAAGTTAGAAAAGTCAACTGGCAACAAATCTCTGTGCATCTTAAATTTGACTAAAATTTCAGGAATCTGGTGTAGCTTTGCCAGAGCAGGTGACCCATGATCTTGTCAGGAAATAACTCTGAGAAGTTTCATCATCAAAAATTAGGTGAACTGTGGTCCGTTGGCAGATTACAATCTAGCTTTAGTCCATAACTGCTGTACATCATGGCATAAAATTGAATGGGGCTCAGATTGTCATTCATCCATCAATCACCATGCCAGTCTCCACTTTGAATAGCTTGCCTAAGAGCGTGTAAATGTAAAGGAACAAGCTTACTTGGTCTCAAGCGTGTGATCTTTTTTGTGTAATATGAGAAAGCATGACATACCCAGCTCCCATTTGCATTAGAAAGAGAAGCAGATTCTGTCTGTGTTTTCTGCTAAGGCAGTAATCCTGATGCATTTACTGTGATGTGCATCCACTGAATCCAGCCATACTCTGGATATATTTATTTGTTTGTTTGTTTCCTGCCCTTAATATATTTGCAAATAACTCAAGGCAGTAATGCATTGCATAGACTTGTGAACTGGCAAATAGAAACCACAATTCCCAAACTACAGTAGCATTTGAGGTGGAAATTTTTCCTTTTAAGAGCAGATCTAGGAAAAAACTTAATTTTCAATAAAGCATACAAAGGGTATATTAGACATGTGATTAAGTTTTATGAATTAATTTTTTTTAGAATTTTAGAATTATGTTAGGATCATAATAATTGCCCATTAAAGGCAACTACTGATGTTGACAGTGCAATCAAATTGTATTCTTTGGAGGTTGGGAAAAATAAATATTAGCTTAATAGGAAAAATGATGCTGAGTGCTTTTCTTTGTTCTGAACTAGTCATGGCAGCATACTTGAACTTAGTTTGCACGCTTCCTTTTTTCATGTGTTTTTGAACCTCACAAACTATTGCTTCCCGTTTCCCACTTTTACCCCTCCCCATTCAATCCCACAGGTGGAGAGAAGTCCTCGACTTCTGCGTCGCCAGAGGAGTGCCTTAATCCAACGTTGGGAGTCTGGAGCTATTGGCAATGTGGAGACCCAGGATTAGTGGCTGCCACAGCCTGAAGAAGCAATGGGTTGACCTCCTTTCATAAGATACACCGGGATTTCTCAAGGAGTGCCCCGCACAAGCATAAGTGCCGTGTGCAAGCATCTCTCTGGAGCCCATCATGCACTCTTTCTATTCAGCCTTTTGATTTGACAAAAATGTTCCAAAGCCTGCCTGCGTTATCAGTGTGATCATAAGCAGAAAGGATGTTTATGGTTGGTTGCCTTCTTCTGAGAGTTAAATTGGAGCGAGAAGGAAAGACTATGGTTAGACTATGAGCTGTTCTGAGGGCTTATATAAGCAGAAAGATGGGGTGTCATTTTAGTAATCAATAAATCAAATTAAGCTCCAAATCCAAAGTACTGCAACTATTAGTTTGTATTTATATAGGGACACCTGGATGGACACCAATGTCTCTTTTAAATCACTTTCCATTCATAACTTTTTTCCTACATTTTATAGCTTTGATCCACAGGGTCCCACCACGTGCAATTTTTTCAACTAGATCCATGGATGTGCAGGTACACTCCGAGCAAAGCTGACTACTTTGAGGAGGTCTAGGTACACAAGACAGAGGATTACCTTTCAGTTTGGGAGCTTGGCAATTAACTGGTTGGCTCTCTGGGCTGATTATGTCTCTGGATACATATCCTCAGGAAAGAAAGATATTAGATTACCAGTTCCTGTGTGACTGATTTTGTCCTCAGGTTTGCTCTTATTTAACATGTTGCATGTGGATTTTGCCCTTGGGTATTTATATAGCACAAAAACATATGGTAGGAGTAAGCCCTTCATATTACTCCAATTCATAGGGGAAAAAAACATAACAAAATACTTATACCTTTACAAAGCTCCCTTCTGTTGCTCGTTTTACAGGAGATGCTGGCTTCTGTTCATTTTTTAAAAAATAAAGATTATTTTGTGTAGGAGTAACCTCAAATTGCTGGCTTTTATAAATGCAGCAAGAATCCTGATCTTTAAAATTATTTCTTTGGCCCTTAAAAAGAATTGTTGTCTGAGATTTTTTTCCTCACTGAGAAAATAAAGGACTGTCATTTTTCCTAAAAGCCATTTAAGGGAAAGAATGAACTTGCTTAATTAACTATTATTTAAAAGGCTAAATCTATAATAGCATTTCCTTTTGTAAGTAAATGGGATTTATTGAATTAACAGGGCATTTAATGCACAATAAAAGCTAACTGGCAAAGGAGCTCTCTGCCTTGACTATTATGCCTAGGCTATGTTTCCGCTTTGTGGCAACAGAGAAATGATTATGTCAACATCTCTAGCTTAAAAAGGTGGGGAAGGATCCTATTTCATCTGGCTGGAGTGAGAGTCCTCCACAAAGGCTTGGTTTGCTGAGGTGACTTTACTTGTCTGACTCATAAAACCACATTTTATGAGGAAGCAACAGGTGGCTGAGAAATATGTACAAGCTGATCTCATAGAAACGGAGTTTTGGTCACAGGTTCAACACTCACCAGATTCTTCATTTGCCACACCTTTTGCTCACTTCTGATGCCTTTCTGGGATCTGAGTAAGAGGCAGTATTTGATCAAGTAAAAAAACAAATGACCCCCTCCCACCCCAAAGCTATACTTTCAACCAGTAGATTTATTCCTAGCAGTGCCAAATCCAATGCTGTAAATTTTTCTTAAGAATTTACCCTACCATTTATGACCCTTCTTAAAATCAATGTGAAAGAATAGCCTTTATTAGTGCCACTTGTGTAACGCTTATTTGGTATCAGGACAGCTCAGTAGCCACACCCAAACTTTTTAAAGCACTCCTTCCTAAACTCCTTCCTTTTGGAAACATTTTTTTTTTACTAAGGCTTTTAAATGAATAAAACAATGTCTGTATGATCTCTGTATGTTTTGCAAACCACTCTTTGATAGTTGGCATTCTGTAAGTGTTTAAATAAATAAATAAAAGGACATTCTGCAATGTAGAACTGAAAAAAGCCTTTTCCAGCCTGAAATGAATTAACAGGTTGGAGTTGGGATCCTTAAACTCTAGAATTTTTTTAAAAAAATTTGATTTATATGCCGCCCTTCTCCGGAGACTCAGGGCGGCTTACAATGTGTTAAGCAATAGCCTTCATACTTTTTTATATTTATACAAAGTCAGCTTATTGCCCCCACAAACTGGGTTCTCAATTTACCTACCTTAGAAAGGATGGAAGGCTGAGTCAACCTTGAGCCTGGTGAGATTTGAACTTGCAGTAATTGCAGGCAGCTGATGTTAATAACAGTGCTTTAGTCTGCTGCGCTACCAAGGCTCTTGGTAGCTACCAAGGCTACCATTGCCACTCTTTCTGTTTTTTTTAGTTTTTTGGGAAATCATAACCAAGTGTAATCTTTAATACTTATAATGAATCTCCCAGCCTTTTCTCTCTACCCCCACACCCATCCCCTTCCTGGGTTTTCTGTGCATGCATGTTCTGGAGAGAGAGCCAAGAATAGCACTGGGAGTTAAAGCTGGAGAACAGTTTCTTGAAATGTTTACTAGAGTGTATCAATCATGGGAGTTATAGCTACCATGGGGAAGAGAGCGATCCTCTCATAAAATGATGGCAGTAATGAATGAGAGGGGCCCCAAAGCAAAATGTGGAACAGAGAGCCAACTGGGTAGTATGCCAGCCTTAGAAGCAGAGCAAGTAGGTGACTGAGAAGGGAGGGAGCAATGCTGTATGTAGGGAACCAGAAGAAAAAAAATGCCACCCAGGCAGGGGTGGACTTCAAAAATTTTAGCAAGGAGTTCTCTGCCCAGTTGCTGGGTCGGTGTGGACATGGTGGGCGTGGCCTAGTCGGCTTCCTGCACCATGACAGGGGGGTGTTTTTGCCCTCCCTGGGCTCCGGGGGCTTTCCTTGAGCCTCTGGGAGGGCGAAAACAGCCTCCCAGCAGTGGTGGGTTGCCCCCGATTCGCACCGGTTCTATAGAATCAGTAATAAACCTGGCGGGAGGCTCTGCCCACTAACCCTGACATCATCAAAATGCTTCTGCACTTGTGCAGAAGAGCATGCGCGCGGCTCTGTTGCAAACTGGTAGCAAAGGTAAGTAGAACCCAGCCTGACCCCCAGGCTCTGGAGGCCCTCTGGAGGCCAGAAATGGGGCTGTTTCCGGACTTCCCGAACTTCCAGTAGGCCCGTTTTTTTGCCCTCCCCAAGCCTCTGTGCGCGCCCTGCACTTACCTGCATCCAAAACGGGCTGCGTGGGACTCCTGGGAGGGGAAGGTTGGGTGGGTGGGGCCAGCCAGGAGTGGGATTTGGGGGTTCTCCAAACTGCACAGAATCTTAGCTAGAGGTTCTCCCGAACCCTTGCGAACCCCCAGCAGCCCACCCCTGCACCCAGGTCATCTTTACAAACTTCATTTTATGTAAAGTATGTAATTTCAGACACAAATTATACATTTGCAATATATCATGGCATTGTGACATATGTGATACTAATCTCACTAGATGCTTATGGGTGGGACTATGTCCTTTCCTCTCTTACGTACGGTATGTATGTTATTGTTTAGTCATGTCCATCTCTTGATGACTTTATAGGCAAGTGCTCTTCATGCTATTCTGTTAAGCACAATTTCTTTCAGTTGTTGGAAGTTCATCTTGTATCAGTTTTGATGTCATCAAGCCAGCATGTTCTTTGTTTGCCCCTTCTTCTTTGTCTACTAACCATTCATTGACTTCTCCAATTAATTTGCATGCATGACATGGCCAAAGTAAACCAGACATAATGTTCTGGTAGGTGTTTCTTCACAAAACAGGAAATAAAAATGTGCAGTAAGCCTCTACTAGGCCTAATCCACTTATTTTACTATTAAAATAAAATAAGGTAACTTATTTTACTATTAAAATTGGCAAAAGAGAAGGAGAAGGTTTTGACCAAATAGCTAAAAAGATAAGAAAAAAAAAATAACCAGGGACAGGTGGAGGGAATTGTCAGTGCTACAAGCAGTATAAAGTTTATTTGGCCTAAATAAACTAACACAAAGGGAAAGAAGACCAGTTTATTACAACACAAGAGTATAACAGGACTGGTAATGTTTAGGATGTTCATGTTCTCTCTGATATAGAAAAATCATGCCTTCTACCATGATAATTGTAATCATGGTGATTTTCATGGCTGATGGACAGGCAGAGATAAGATTGTGGGTCTTTTTTCTTGGTGTTTCCCCCCCTCTAATTATCTAGATTTGGACTTAAGTGCCTTCTCAGATCAATTCCCAATGAATTTTGGATTGTCATTGAAAATTTAAAAAATTCCACCATCATTATATCGTACTTTTCTGCTGAATCTGCACAGGTTCTGCAGGCCACAGAAAAGAGCTTTAGCAATTCCATTCTTGTTGGTGTGTATGTATGTATGGAACTAACATTGGAAGGCACACACAGCCTTTTTCATGAGTGAGTAGTGTGAGGGCCAAGATATTAGGATTTAATAGCAATGCTTTTAACATGGCAAACAAAAAATTGTCAGCGTATGTCTAGTTTAAGGAAGAGAAAGGCTAAGGTGACATGATAGCAGTCTTCCCATATTTGATGAGGTGTCAGAGAGAAGACAGGGTCCACCTATTCTCCAAAAGACCTGAGGGCAGAATAACAACTACGATAAATGGATGGAGGCTTATCAAAAAGAGATCCAATCTAAAACTAAGGAGAAATTTCCCAACAATGAGAACAATTAATCAGTAGGCACTCTATCGCTGGAGGTTTTAAGATCTTGGGCAGCCGTTTGTTCAGAATAGTACAGGGTCTCCGGCTTCAGCAGTGGGCTGGATTAGAAGACCTACAAGGTCCCTTCCAACTCTAATTGTGTAATTCTGTCATTCTTTTCAGACATTTTTATACCTGCAGTTATAGTACTAAGCCAAAATGGTGTGTTTCTTTTCTTTCTGAGACAAAGTTAGGTCATAGACTATGACTCACTAGGAATTTGGGTAATAAATATACCCAAATAATACCCAAGAGGGGGGCAGAGGTCGACCCCGAGGCCCCTAGTCTGTGGGGTGCCACAAGGGTCGGTCCTCTCG